CACACTACACACACCACACACACCATACACCCACACCACACTCATACCACACCCACACCACACACACACACACACACTACACACCGCACACACACACACCACACACACACACCACACACTACCCACACCACACACACCATACACCCACACTCACACACCCACACCACACACACAACACACCACACACACAACACACCACACACACACACATACACAAATCACACACACACCCCCCCCCACACACACACACACCCCACACACGTGCTAGTTATGGACCTGAGGCCGATCGCCGTCCTAGCCCGCGTAATGATGCTTGTCCTGCATAGACAGAACTGACACGTTTCAAGATTAAATATCCAGATAGTATCTTAAAGGTGATTTAAACTCTTTGGAGCTAGAACTAACCTCTTTCGGAGACTGTGTGTTTTATCTCAGTCTCCCAGGGCCTAAGACGGTACCTAGAAAAGAGAGGTTACTTAATATATCCTTGTTGGCTGGATTTAAAAGTCCGCAGGACATCAAAACAAGTGTCACTATTCTTAGTTTATGGTCTTAAGGTCAGAATCTGACATTTGTTATTTCCCATTTTCTGTATCCAAAAGATAATTCCAAAGACAGCAGTTCACCTTATTCAAGCCTTGTCTCTCACACAAAGCATTTCTTAACATGAGCTTAGACAAATCGAGCTTGTTAGACGTTTTTGAAAGTTACCAGTTTATATATCAAGTTATAATACCTCCCTGATCCCTGTCTATATAGTCAGAAAAGGCTCATAAATGAAGGCATAAATATACAGCAGTAGGCACAGTCATTCTTAGAAGAATCCCAAAATGGATTTCAGATGAATTTTAAATATTATAATATGTTTTTAAAAATAGCAACATCCCTTAAGCTGGTGTCCCTCTCCCTTTCCCCAGAATTTCTATTTAAGAGAAACAGTTCAGCTGGACTAACAGAAAGAGTGTCGGGGTAGCAAAGCTGGTTCGTGCGTTGATCCTTCCGTCCATAGAAAAACAAACTGGTGCAGAGTGTTCTCTGGCTTCCCTTCTGGGGTGAGAGCCCCTGCCTTTGGACAGAGGATCTCTGATTTAAAGGCTGCTGCATCTGTGTAGGACACCCAGGGCCCCACTGGTACCTGGAGCCTGGGTCAGGGGAGCTGGCAGTTCCGCGCAGAGATGTTGGGAGCATCTCATGGTGAGGCTTGTGCGTCCTGGCCTGACCAGGCCTCATCCGGGGCTGTGCAGCTGTGTGTTCACGTGGGTTTAGATCCAAACACAGTAAGAACAGTTCCACCCTCTGTGGAAGCAGCAGTGTATCTGGAAGGGGGAAGAGGCCAGAGGCGGAGGAGAAAGAATGCAGCTCAGGATCTGTTGCATTAGAAATTGTACCAGCATCGGATGCCATCTGGGGTTTGCTATGCAAAGTGGCTGTTCACATAAAACATCCCTCGTTTCCACTCTGGATGTCGCCTACGTGTTTGTGCTCGCCGCCCATCCACGTGTCCGTTCATTCATTCCCCAGGTGTTCATGAAGTGCCTGACCCGTGTTTGTCACCTGGTGTGGCCGCAGTGATCCTAGGGTCCACCTTTGCGGGGCGTACGGCTGGGGGCTGGGAGGTGCACAGGCAGTCAGCGTCCTGTGGTGTCATGAAAACACTGCATTTTCCAGTACATTCTTCAAAAGAGCGAAGAGCCCGCATCCAACAGACCAATTTTCTTAATTCTCTCTAGAGAGCTCTGGATGCTGGTAGGCCACGGCGTTTCCCACCTGGGACCCGGGTGGCATTTAAAACTGGGCGTGGCTTCTTCGGCACTGACTTCCTGAGGCTGCTTCCTGCCTGTGGGAAGGCTTTGGGAATGTTCACAGATTCCTCTGGAGGAATCGAGGATGTTAGGGCAGTCTCCTGGAGCCGCGTGGATAGAGAAAGACGTGTGGGTTTCGAGGGGCAGGAGGCAAATGGCATCTTTGGGGTCAGATTAAAGTACGTGGTTGAGAAAAGGGAGCATTGAAGAGGGTGCTCCCTGGACGCTCGTGCGGCCCAAAGGGCCTCCTGTTCAGGAAACACCTGAAACTCTGCGCCTCCCTTGATTCCCAAGAAATGTTTCCGGTAAAAAAAAAAAACGCACGTGCTTCCTGGGCTCTGAACGCCCTCCTCCCATCTCCCTCCACCTTCCTTTCTCTCCTTTCCCCACCTCTCCACTTCCTCTCCTCCTCCCTTCTTGTTTCTCTTCTCTCTTCCCTCCCCCCTCCCCTCCCCCCCAGCAGCCCGCAACTCCAGACACTGACAGTTCTTAAACCTGAGAAGATAAAAATAGCCCACACGTATAAGCCTGTGGACCTCGCAGATAGTCATTATTTTCCATGGGGCAGCCCTGTGCGCTGCTGCCCGCTGCGCTCTGAACCTGTGTCCTTGCCTCGGACTCAGCGCAGGTGGAGAATTGGTTTGAACCGGAGACTAAAGCTCTGCACCCACCCCTCACCCCAGGACTCTCCTCTCCCAGCACTGTGGTCGGTGGCTGAGCCTGTGGCCACACCTGTAAACCTGCCCCCTAAGATCCGGGTGCTTGTTCAGAGCCAAGGGGGATGATATCAGAGGATGACGTAACCCCGGGGGAGGGGTGAGAACTCCCAGACGCTGGGATTTGGGTTTGGTTCATGAATAACAAGTCCGCAGTCACACCTGCGGTCCAGATGTCTCCTTGCTTGCTTCTGCTTCATGCTGTCAGCACCTGTGCACCAGGTGATGGGCAGGAGTGACAGGTAACCCGCGGGAAGGGATACGGCAGTTGAGAGAGGGTAAGCAGATTGCGCACGGTTAGGTTAAAAAAAACCAAGATGGACTCCTCTGGTGGCACAGTGGTTGAGAGTCCGCCTGCTGATGCAGGGGACGTGGGTTCGTGCCCCGGTCCGGGAAGATCCCACATGCCGCGGAGCGGCTGGGCCCGTGAGCCATGGCCGCTGAGCCTGCGCGTCCGGAGCCTGTGCTCCACAACGGGAGAGGCCCGCGTACTGCACAAAAAACAAAAACAAAAAAAGCCCCAAGGTGTTCTGTTTGTTTTTTTAAAATTAATTAAATTATTTATTTTTGGCGGCGGTCGGTCTTTGTTGCTGCAGGCGGGCTTTCTCTAGTTGCAGCGAGTGGGGGCTACTCTTTGTTGCGGTGCACGGGCTTCTCATTGCGGTGGCTTCTTTTGTGGAGCATGGGCTCTAGGGGTGCGGGCTTCAGTAGCTGTGGCGCACGGGCTCAGTAGTTGTGGCGCATGGGCTCTAGTGCACAGGCTCGGTAGTTGTGGCACGTGGGTTCAGTAGTTGTGGCTCGCGGGCTCTAGAGCGCAGGCTCAGTAGCTGTGGCGCACAGGCTTAGTTGCTCCACGACATGTGGGATCTTCCCGGACCAGGACTCGAACCCACGGCCCCTGCATTGGCAGGCGGATTCCTAACCACTGTGCCACCAGGGAAGCCCAACCAGGCATTTTATAAGATTAAAAATGGAGTTGTAGGAGGCGTCTAGTGCAAGGCTATAGCTAAGTTTTTGCCATTAAAAGAGGCTTAAGATGGACCGTATAACTTTAAATACACAATTTTGTATAATAATTTTCTATTTGGTAGCAGTTGATTGAAGAAGAATTGGTTTTAAACACTTTGCGGTGGAAGGGACGCTCTTGGTCTCCTCAGTAGCTCGTGGGCTACTGATTGTGATGCTGAGGGGTTTGTGCTTCTTGTAACTTGCTGGAAATGCGGTCAGATTTGTGTCCCCCTGCTCTGCCCCTCATTAGTGATGGTCTCACTTTCCACCCCAACTTGTTGGTTTAAGCATAAGTGCTGTCCTAGTCAATAAAACTGGAGTGACTTCTCAGAGGAGATAAGGAACAGGCTGGGAGAGAGATCCACCAGCGTCCAAGACAGTTCTGCAGAAACGGGGGCTGTCAGACCCTCCGGGCCCGTTCCTCCTGGGGGTTGGTTTCAGGGATGGGGGCGTTGTCTCGGGGTCACCTCTGTCCCCTTCAGCTGACGTGGAGCCCTGTGTGTTCTCACAGTTTACTCTGTTAGATGATTTCTGTCCCAGTCCTGCAGAGTTGGAGGAGGTAGAAAGCGTATTCCAGGTCTGTAAGCATCACCAGGGCCTCACCTGGGACGAAAACAGTTCCCCACTTTGATGACTCCAGAGCACAGGAATGGTGCTCAGTGGGGTTGGTGCAGGCTATGGTCTGTCGTCTCCTTTCCCCCGCAGGGCCTGTGCTTGTCCAAACCCACATGGAACCACCTTTCCATTTAGATCGGGAGTTTCTTTTTTCTAAGTGAGACGGCTGTTTGGGAATGCTCATATGCATCTTCTGTTTTCATTAATATTCCTGGCCTCCAGTTTTTCCATCCATAAAATGAGGTAGTCATAGATAATCTCCCAAATTATTTCCAGATTAAAAAATTTTATGATCTAGAGCCCTATCTCCTTTCCTTGTTCTTATTTCAAATCCTCAAGTCATTATTCTTACGTTTGTGTGACCAGAATAGGCAAATAAGATTCCACAGGTAAATGGCAGCCTTTATTCGAAAAATCTATATGTTAGAGGGGCGGCGCTTAACTGAGATGAGCTAAACGCTGGCCGCTTGCAAGGCCAGTCACTGAGGAATTACAGGAAAGCATTGCATCTTCTGCCAGCATAGCCGCTGCAACCTGACGGTGGCCTTAGGACAAAGGATATTTACATGTTGTGTTTCAGAGCAAAACTTCAAACGCTCAAGAGCCTCATCTTGTGATGTTATTGCAAGAATGTCCAGACAATGTTTTCTCCAGGAAGAGCAATTCATGTGTCCAGCTGCATGCTTCATACTTTTGGGAAAAAACTGTCCTATGAACACAGAAGTAACCAAGGATGGTTGCTTGAAAGTTGTCCATTTCTTTGCTTACAGTTGTCAGGATCTTATATACACAAGGGTACAAAATAAATAAACACTATCAAATTCGCTATTATCTCATAAACCAGGCAGCAATATTTCATTTGCATCCTGGGGTATGATTTTGGAATTTCACTCCTAAGTGGGTGGAAATGACAGAAAATGGAATCAAGTTTAATCAGAGTTTGTGAAACGTCGCTCAGAGTTACACAGTCAACTTGTCTCCCTATTTAATAATTTATAAAGCTTTTTCACTTGTAGCAAATCAAATATTGCCACTTGAGAAGATATTTCTAAAGCAGTTGGACCGTGTTTCTAATGGCTCGGAGGCGTTTCTCCACACCTAGCCTTCCCAGGGTAGACTGGCTCTTTCTGGGGTAGTGCTGACATGTTTGTGCAGGAACCACATGGGGAGCGGGGGAGGGTGAAACCTCCCGCCTTCCTCTGCCCCCACCCTGTCCCTTCTGCTCACACACACGCCACACTCATCCTGGAAAAATGCAGCTCGAGGTGTCGCCTGGAGTGGCCGTTGACTGCCGTCGCTGTGTTTCCCACCGTGATCATCCCCGTCCTTGGAAGCCAGCCTTTCCCTTTCTCCTGCTCCCTGGATATCTGGGCTGAGAGAGGATAGTCTTGTCATCTGGGAGGAATGAGGCCCCCGGGGCGCCTCCTCTTGGGCAGGGGCCGGGCGTGCTTCCCAGTGAAGCCGGGTCGAGGTGATGCTCCCCTGGCCGCAGGTTTACCGGCTCTGACCCCCCCTCCCTTGGCTTCTGTGGTTTCTTCTTACTCAGATTCATGAATCATAAAGGGGAGCTCACGGAAAGTCTTTTTATAGCAACGAGCATATTGTTTTCTATCCCTGCTGTGCTATTTTGGGGGCGGGGAGAATGGGAAGATGTGCGGTTGCGTCCCACGTTGGAAGCAGGCACTCCTTCCAGGGGATGAGGGCTCTGATGCCAGCTCTTTCTTGGGTCCAAAACTGGGATCACGTTTTCTGACACAGTCAGCCAGAATTGGGACTTTTAAAGAAGTGGAATGTACTCGGACACAGAACTGCCCCCAGCTAAGTTTTTAAAAGTATCATTGAAAATTACACCCGATTCAAGGGTGAGTGTCGATTGCTCACGCAGAGGATGTAGCCACCGATGGGAAAGGTGATGATGGGAAAGGTGACCCTAACGGAGCAGGACGGTCACTGCCGTGTGCACGGGATATCGGGCGCGCTCACCGCACCTGTCCTTTCTCTTCTCCCTGGTAGGTGGCACAAATCTGGTGCCAGGATGACCGAGCGCTTCGACTGCCACCACTGCGAGGACTCCCTCTTCGGCAGGAAGTACATCCTGCGGGAGGAGCGGCCCTACTGCGTGGCCTGCTTTGAGGCCCTCTTCGCCAGCACGTGCGAGGAGTGCGGGAAGCTGATTGGCTGCGACTGCAAGGTACCCGCCCCTGGGCATCCCCCAGCCCCGTGCTCCCTGCCCTCCCTCGGGCCTCCCAACCCCCCTGGACACCCACCCTGGACTCCCCAGGAACCACGTGCTTCTCAGCACAGTTGTGCTCGCGTCCTGGTCATCGCCCTGGACGCCCTGGAGGCCCCTCTGCTGGGCTCGGACCCTCCACTGGTCTTTCCCAACCTCCTCCCCACGGACTCGGCCTCTGCCGGTCCCAGTCCCGCCGCACCTGGTCGGGGCTTTTCCGGGACGTGTGCGCCGAGCATCCCAGGTCCACTTGTGATGGCCCCGTGGTCAGCATTCTTAGCTAACCGGCCACCTGCCGCCCAATCCCGTGGTCCCCCGAGGGCAGCGCTCTCCCTCCTGGGCTGACTCGTGGGGCAGGTGTGCGCGATCAGTATCGGCGCAGTGAGCGTGCGTGTGGGAGAGCCAGCGCGCACCCCCGGCTGGAGGGGCTGAGAGGCCCTGCCTGCACTGGGGCGTCGGGTGAGCTTCTCTTCTTCGTGTGGACGATGAGGATGTGTGGCTGCCAGCTGAGCAGTTAGGGCTGGCTCTGCTGGGGGCGATCCGGAGTGGTCCAGCGCGCGTCTGCCCTGTTTCTGTCTCATCCATCCTTCCCATGACGGTCCGTAAGCAGCCGGCTGACTGGCGCTAGGTGTTTAGTGACAGTCGAGGGATAATTTCCATCTTACGGGGAAGAAGCCTTTGCCCTGAGCAGAGACAAAGGGTGTGGGATGCCCCCACTTGAGCCCAGGTTGCAGCCACGTGTCGTGGCTCCACAGAGGAGTGGCACGTGGAGCGGAAGGGAAACGGGACTCGGCACCTGTCCCGTGGAAGCCTTAAAACAACCAGAGCTTTGGCTACGACCACGGGCAGAAGTAGCTGCTCTTGCTTGTCTGAAAGCCGCCTGCCCTCCGACCTCCAGCTCTGTGTGATGTGTGTCCGAGCCCCTCTGCGTTCATCTCCAGGCCGAGCACAAGCGCTCGGACACCGAGCTGCCCCGTTCCGTCCTGGCTCTGCGTCTCACTGGCTGTGTGATCGTGGGCCCATGGCTTGACCCCTCTGTGCCCGTCTGCACGTTTATAAAAGGGAGCTACAGGGCTTCCCTGGTGGCGCAGTGGTTGAGAGTCCGCCTGCCGATGCAGGGGACGCGGGTTCGTGCCCTGGTCCGGGAAGACCCCACATGCCATGGAGCGGCTGGGCCCGTGAGCCATGGCCGCTGAGCCTGCGCGTCCGGAGCCTGCGCTCCGCAACGGGAGGGGCCGCAACAGTGAGAGGCCCGCGTACCGCAAAAAAAAAAAAAAAAAAAAAAAAGGGAGCTACAACAAGGGAGCCTGCATTATGGGTTCTCGTGGTGTGTAGCCGCCATGCGCTCAGCGCTCTAAGGAGCGGCTGATGGTGTGGAAAATTCCACCCCCTCTTCTCTTCCGACTGCTTCCCTGCAGCGTGCTCCCTCCCCCTGCCTGTCGAAGCTTCGCCCTGTCTCTTCATCAGTTTTCACTAGAGAAACATCAATAAAAATGTCCGCTTTGAGGAAGAACTAAGAGGCAGAGAAAACAATTATTATTTTATAAAGGCTTTACTTGGAAAAGACATAAGTAGGTGAGAGGTTCAGATATCATTCTGACAAACAACCCTGCTTTAAAGGAGACGTTCTGGAGATTTAGGGCTCATCATCCTTGCCTGGGAGCTAAAGTAAAAACCAAAGCGAAGTCACTGATCATTTCTTCAGTATGATTTAGTGGACAGACCCTTGAAACTAGTTATCCTTCAGCACATGCTTTAGGAGCAGATAAACAAGAATTCCCCAAATGGGGCCAAAATCAACAAGACTGCTGCAAAGTCAGGCGTCAGTCACGCTGAACTTTTCAACCCGGATAACGGTTCACTCTCTGCGGAGTTACGCCACGTGATTCTGCGCATGTGGGAAGGGAAAAGATGTGAACTTGCAGTTAGACCTTGCCATTTGGGGCTTCTGAATATTTGGAACGGTTTTCTTGGCTTTCAGAAGTAATTATGTAGTTGGTTTTGTGGAGGAAGTGATGGCAGGAAAAATGTGCCTCTGCACTTCGGGAGGAGAAGCCCCAGCTTGGCAGGTGGGGCGCTGGGCAGAGCAGCTAGGCTGGCGGGTCTGGTGGCCGTTCTTTTGTCTGAAAATAGCAGGGGTGCCGTAAGCCCCGCTTGGGTCTCCCTCTGAAGGACATTTGTGTGTAACTTAAAATACTGCAAGCCACTGGGGATTAGGCTGATGTTGTATTGACTGACGTTCAAATGAGGTAGGCAGGACTTCAGGATGACCTGCTTCCATAGGTAGCTTACCTGTGTTTCAGCATCATTTCTACGCAGACTCTCTTTCTGTCCTTTCTTTCTGTTTAGTTAACTCTGAGGAAATGCTGTGATCTCCAGAGGTAAAAATTATTCATTTTTATGGCCAGTGGAATAGTTGACAACAGGTAATACAAATAAAAATTTATGATCCTCTGACCTTACGCTCTTCCAGAAATTTTTCCTGGACACCTGTGGATACCAGCAAAAAATATATATATATTTTTGCCTGATTACAGGTGTTTTTCAGGGGGTAGGTCTACCTAAGTCCCGGGCTTCAAAAAGTCAAGAAACCAAAGAAAAGATAAGCTGGGCCAGTACTCAGAGATGGCTGCTGGTCCCTCCCATCAGCACATTGGTGCCTTTAGCAAACTCTGGGCCACGTACCTGGCTCAGACTTTGGGTTTTCCGTGTCTCTGCGGGCAGTGCCATAAAGTCAGACGGGCCTCCAAACCCACCCACCCGCGTGCCTGGAGGGGGCTGCAAAGAGGAAGACGTGGTAACAGTCAAAGGACCTTCTGCAGGTCTAAAACCAGCATTAGGGTCTTCCCTAGTGGCGGTGCAGTGGTTAAGAATTCGCCTGCCAACGCAGGGGACAGGGTTTCAAGCCCTGGTCCGGGAAGATCCCACATGCCGCGGAGCAACTAAGCCCGTGCGCCACAACTACTAAGCCTGCGCTCTAGAGCCCGCGAGCCACAACTACTGAGCCCGCGTGCCACAACTACTGAAGCCCACACGCCTAGAGCCCGTGCTCTGCAACAAGAGAAGCCACCGTAATGAGAAGCCAGTGCACTGCAACGAAGAGTAGCCCCTGCTCACCACAACTAGAGAAAGCCTGTGTGCAGCAACGAAGACCCAATGCAGCCAAAAATAAATAAATAAATTAATAGGAAAAATAAATTAAAAAAATAAGTAAACAGGTCCCCTAGAGGGCACACCTGGGACAGGGCTGCACAGTGTCGTTCTTCAAGGATTTGAAAGAACGTGCAGCTGGGGACGTGGTAGCCTGACAGTCTCAAAGTGCAGAACACCTTTTCAAAGTGCTGGGCACGAGTGACACGGCAGATCCACTGATGAGGTGAAATCCCGTGGTTTTGAGGACTGGCTGGTTTGGGAATCAGCAGCTGAGCTTCTCCCTGCCTGGGAGGGATAGACAGGGTGTAAAGGAGGATGAGGGACCCCCCTGCCCGGAGCTGCCCTCATTAACTTGTGGGCAAGGGGGCACCTCCAGGCCACTGACTCCCCCTGCGGCTCAGCTGAGGTCTCAACAAGGGCACATTCGGAGCAAAGCCACAAGCGCTTCCCATATTAGGAATATTTCTGAAATGGAAAAATATAAATTCTGAAAGGAAGTGTTTGGGCCTTATCTTACCTTGTTTATCAGACATTTTACTGCAGTTTATGACATTCTGCGTGCATAAGATCAGCAATGGTCTTTTTTCTGCGACGTGTCAAAGATTTTTTTTCTTCCATTTTTTTGTATCTCTCCTTCGTGCTCTCTCTCTACAGAACCTTAAAACCAGGGTATTTCTAGAACATTTCCAAGTTCTTGAAAGTCAGCGCGTCCATATGTCTTAGCCTTGAACCTCCAGCATCTAAATGGTGTCTTTGGGGACCACGTGGCGTACTCGACACATAACAGAATTAAGTGAGACGAGACTAGCTCGGAACTAAAAACCAAAACTAAAACTCAGTTTGGAGCCGTGAACACCAGAGGTGGAAAGAGCCGCTAGGAACCCAGTTTTACAGACGAGCATTCGGAGCAGCCGTGCATTTCGGTTCAGGCACCGGGTCAAATCAGCCCAACCTAACCTGGAGCCTTGGTCTTTCTGTGCCATTTTCCGGTCCATCCCCACGAGCCCCGAGCCCCCAAAGCCAGTGGCATTTCCCACCTCCGCGCCCACAGGGCATGGACTCTGCAGAAGTGAGTTCAGGAATTATCAACTTGACTCAGACTCCCTTCTCAGGACCCCACAAGAGGAGAATTAAGGGAAACCCGACGGCACAGCAGCAGATGAGGGCTTCCATGTGCAGTCCTGAACGAGCTGCATGACGTGGGCTTTTCCGGGGGTGCCCGCGGGGGTGGCACCAGGGGCACAGGGTCCTGCGGGGCCACCATCACTCATGGCCACACAGGCGTCACCGAGTGGCTGGTGTCCACGCGGGGCCTCACAGCTGAGGGGGCGGAGGGGCCCGCCTCCTCGGCTCTGAGGGCATGGGCACGGAGTGAGAGAGGACACTGGGGCAGAGGGTGAGGCTGGGCGAGCGCGCCGAGACCTGCTTGCAGAGATGCTCCCGGGCTGCAGGTCAGCAGGAGAGATGCAAGAAACGGGGTTCATGGTGTCTTAGCATTGTTACGTTAAACTTGCTCACCTATCAGATGGGAATAAACCTTATCCCATGGGGTGGGGTTATAGTGCGGTTGAAATCGAGTAAGAGGGGACTAAGAATTTTAGAATCAGAAGGGCTGTGGAGGCCAAGAGCACTGTACAGAGCAGTGACTGAGCCAGGAGCTCGGAGCCTAGGTGAGGGCGTCCGTTCCATCCCCGTCTTCACGAGTAAATGTGATCTCAGCAAGTGGCGCTTCGGGGCACCTGCTGTCACCACGAGCTGGCATCTAAGACTGACATTAATTGAGCCGTGTCAGTGTGCCAGGACCGTTGTCAGGGCTTCACCATCATCCCTGTTTCCCCAGGCGGATCTGGGGCTGGGAGAGGCCAGGTGACTCACCCCCAGCCCCACGGCAGGTACATACGTGGCAGAGCCAGGGTTTGCGTCTGGACCCCTCCGCTTTAAGCACTGGGATGAAATGCATCAGGCATTTTCGACACTGTGCTCCTGGGTCCCCGAGGGCACCGGTGGCACAGCAGGTGTGCAGGTTGGTGACCGGAGGGCAGTCACCGCTGGCTGCAGCTGGAACAGGGGTGGACCGGTGCCAGTTCCCCACGGCCCCGCCCCCGACAGTGATGCTAGCTTGTTCAGAGACTGTTTGTGACTCACTGAGGCTTCTGAGAGCAGGAGTGTGGGTTGGTATTTATCTCAAGGAAAAACACTTCATCAGAAGGTTTGAGAATTATCAAATGCCCCTGAACGAACATTTCAGGGCCGTGGAGTGTTAATGCAGAAACACGTGTGTGTGTGTGTGTGCGCGCACGCGCGTGTGCGTGCACATCTGAGAGGGGCAGACAAGGGAGCAGCTGTGTGAGGTCACAATGCTCCAAGGAAGGGACAGCTGGTGACTCAGCTGAGCTGGCATCTGGGAAGGACAGAGACTAGCTCGCTGGGGCGGGATGAGGGTGGGACCAGGAAGGGGGGATGATTCCACGTGGCTGCTGTTACCAGCCTGGAGGGCTAGGCAGAAGCCAGGGCGTGAGCAGTCCTTCCCTTGAATACAGGACACGGGATGCGGGACGCAGGACAGCAAGTGACCAAGTGACCAGCAGCCTCGGGAGGGTGGAGGCTAGGAGCTGGGCCTCCAGAAGGTCTAGAAGTCCTGCCTGGGTGCTTATGGTCTCGTCAGGACAGGGCAGTGGTACCCAGATTTCTAGGGAACTTTCTAGTGTCAGATGTCTGTCAACAAATCAGCTCTTGTCAACCTAGCTAATGTGTTTTCATGCCGGAAATGTTAACCGTAGGCAAGTGGATTTCTGCAGTGCTTTTGACCCACGAGATCGTTTTAAATGAGCTTTCCCCTGACCGTCCAGTCCCCTAACCATGCGCGGCTCCGTCCTCCTATGGGACTCGCTAACCAGGGCAACTGGTGACAGCTGGCGGCTTCGCTCTCACGATGTTGTCCGTGGAGGGTCCCCCTGGGCTGTGTTGAAGGTCAGGCCCCAAAGGCAGATGTCCTTGGACTTGGCTTCCTTTCTTCCCGGTTCGCTGGCCGCCTCGCTGTCCCCTGCCCCGCCCTCCCGGCTCGCAGCTCAGCGGGGTGGGGCTCACGGAGGGGACCCGCTGAACTTCTGGAAGGGTGCTTTCCACATGCCACGTGATAATCAAAACTTATTTTTTAATTGTGGTAAAATACACATAACATAAAATGTGCCATCTTAACTGTTTGGAAGCGCACAGCTCAGTGGTGCTAAGTACCTACGCTCTGCTGTGCGACTGTTTCATCTTGTAAAACTGAAGCTCTGTCCCCACTCACACCCGCACTGCCCCAGCCCCGGGTACCCACCTTGCTGCTTCCTGTCTCTGAACTTACCTCCTCCGGGACCTCATGTAAGTGGAATGATTCAGTATTTGTCTTTTTCTGACTGACTTATTTCACTTAGCATGTTCTCAGAGTTCATCCATGTTGTAGTGTGTGTCAGAATTTGTTTCCCTTGTGAGGCTGAATAATAGTCCATGTTTATCCGTCATCTGTGGACGGATGCTGGGGTGACTTCCCCCTTTGGCTGCTGTGAATGTGGGTCTGCAGAGTCCTTCTTTTGTTTTTTTTTTTTTTTTTTTGCGGTACGCGGGCCTCTCACTGTTGTGGCCTCTCCCGTTGAGGAGCACAGGCTCCGGACGCACAGGCCCAGCGGCCATTGCTCACGGGCCCAGCCGCTCCGTGGCATGTGGGATCTTCCCGGACCAGGGCACGTACCCACGTCCCCTGCATCGGCAGGCGGACTCTCAACCACTGCGCCACCAGGGAAGCCCTGCAGATTCCTTCTTTTGGTTCTTTGGGGCATATACCCAGAATTAGAACTGCTGGATCATATGGTAATTCTCTTTTTAATTTTTTGAGGAACTACCATACTGTTTTCCATACAAAAAAGCTGTTAAATGCATTTATTCTATAATCAGTGTCATAACAGTGATCCCATGATCAGAAACTCCTAGTCTTCTTAAATCAGGCTGATTATTGTTCTTAGTGGACGGGGCATTATTTATTTAATTATTTAAATTGTTTTGGCCACGACGCTTGTATCATGTGGGATATTAGTTCCCCGAGCAGGAATCGAACCCGTGCCCCCTGCAGGGAAGCACGGAGTCTTAACCACTGGACCACCAGGGAATTCCCAGCGGATGGGACTTTAAATGGTTTGTTCGACTTTCAAAGCCTCAACAAAGACAGTGCTGAACTGCATTCATTCATTTGGCCTCCTTGGTCTAGCCGGGCGGGAGCTCTCCCAGCGGCTACCTGGAGCCGCGGCACAGCTCCGCCCGGCGCCCCTCTGTCTTGCCCTCCCGGCCTGTGCCCTTTCTCTGCCCAGCTCACGTCTTCGACGCTCAGCTGATGGTACCTACTGGATCTCTCCCGACCTGCTTTCCACCAAGTTGACCCAGGGCCCCGTCCTCAGGCTCTGTCTCTGAGCTTCCCAGCAGCCCGGCCTCCCTCCCGCGGGGATCACAGCCGTCATCCAGCACAGTTGGGTTTGCCCAGCGTCCTCGCGGCCAGAGGACCCCCGGGGTCTGTGTGTCCAGGAGAAGCGCTGATGAGTTTCATGTGCCGTTTCTCTTTCTTACAGTCCCCAAGGGAAAGCCACTCGTTTTTCAGACGCATCTCTCGCACACACCCCTGTCTAAACAGTGGCCCTAAGAACAGCAAGAGAAGCATCCTACCTAACTCATTCCAGCCCCTCGTTGCCCACTTGACCCCCTCGCTGTGGGTCCAGCAGAGCCCACGCCCCCGGCCCCTCTCACGTCTCACGTCTCGTGTGCTCTGGGCCTGCAGGACTTGTCCTACAAGGACCGACACTGGCACGAGGCCTGTTTCCACTGCTCGCGGTGCAGGGGGTCCCTTGTGGACAAGCCGTTCGCTGCCAAGGAGGACCAGCTGCTCTGCACCGACTGCTACTCGCAGGAGTACTCGTCCCGCTGCCAGGAGTGCAAGAAGAGCATCATGCCAGGTGGGCACCAAGCCGCTGAGAGAGTGTGCGCGTGCGTGTGAATGTGCGTGTGCGCGCTTCCCCCGCCCCCTCTGCCCCCTTTGCCTCCCGCCCGCCCCCGCAGAGCTTGCGCGCGCGCGGGCGTGAGTGTGCATGTGTGCGCGCTTCCCCCGCCCTCTCCGCGCCCTCTGCGCACACGCCGAATTCCTGCCCCGTCGGTTACTGCCGCACATGGGTGCTGGGCCGGGAGCTGGGCGCTGTGCCCTCATGCAGGTTATGTTCCCGGCAGGCTCGGCGGCAGCTGGGTCCAGTGCCAAGGCCAGTGATGGGTGGCCTGTCTGTTGGTGGGGGAGGATGGGACTGTGTCCCTTGCTCTTTGGGGGGACTTTGGTTTCTTTGTTTTATGGGAGAGAGGAATCTTTCATTTTAAAGAACAGAGTGGACAAAAATACTTCATGGAATTTTTCAATACAGAATTTAAAAAACGAATCTTGTTAGACACGCACACAGTGCGGGCGAGAAGAGCCTAAGATTTGGACCTGGGATGGTTCATCGGCTCCTTAGGGTCAGTGACGTCCTCTGTGTGACCAGTGAGGGGTGGCTGGACGGTATAGCCTTGGCAGATTTAGCAACTAAAATACAGGACTCCCAGACACATCGGAATTTCAGCTGATCCCACCCGGGACCTCGTTAATCTGGCATCTCTACCAGAGAGCCACCTAAAACCAGGAGAGGACTCTGTCCATCGACTGACTTTGGGGATGTGGCCCCCGAATCAGGCTCAGGCTGGGGGAGTGGGAGTCAGGGGCACAGGCCGGGACCCCTAGCTCTTAGGAAGCTCGATACAGTTGCGCAGGGAGCCCTCAAACTGCCCTGGAAGGTATCTGTTCTCAGGACAGCTTCTTTGGTAGATACACTTCCTTTAGTCCTGCGAAGGTTCAGAATTAAGGGCACACATATAGAGAATCCAACTCAGAGCAATAATAGTGTGTTAGATAATCTGGTAACGTGTGGGTGAAGTTTAGAAAAAATTGGGTCTAAAGAGTAAATTAACCTTATGCTTCTGACTGGAAGTGGGCAGTCAGGTAAGTGATTTAGTTTGTGGTCTTACACTGGAATTTTCTTAATTTGTAAACGGTTTTGATGCTTAAGATATTTTAGGATTCATCATATTTATAAGTTTAATTCATTTCAGCAACAATTAAGAACTTAAGGGACTTCCCTGGCGGTCCGGTGGTAAAGAATCTGCCCTCCGATGCAGCAGATGAGGGTTCGATCCCTGGTTGAGGAACTAAGATCCCACATGCCCCGGGGCAACTAAGTCCGCGCGCTGCCACTACTGAGCCTGAGCGCCTCAAGAGAGCTCAAGTGCCGCAGACTACAGAGCCCACGCGCCCTGGAGCCCGTGTGCGACAGCTAGAGAGAAGCCCGAGCGCACCAACAAAAGATGCTGAGTGCCGCAACTAAGACCCAACGCAGCCAAGAAAATAAGTAAAAGAAAAGAAGAATAGGGGTTACTTAAAAAAAAAAAAGAGGAAGAACTTGAGGTGCGGTTTGCTAGTTGAGGCTTGGTTTGCTGGTTGAGGTTCTTAAAAGGCATGTCAAATACATTAAATTTTCAAGTGTCCTTTTAAAGGAGTTCAGTTCACTACATTGGTGAATGGAACTGAACACAAAGAAATGTACCTTAAAAGTAATTTTTAAAATTCTCTGTATTCATGAATGCAGGATAAAGATGTGCAGGATGAACTTCAATTGAGGGTTTTGAATTTTCAACTTCAATAGAATGAATGTCAATTTGTAGAAACCAAGGTACCCTGCTGAGTCCTCCTAGCCCACACAGCGGCTGGGGTCACCCTGACATGTGAAGAGAATCGAGGCTACAGGGATAATTTAGAGTCAGACTCCTGACTCCGTGGGGAGACTGACGGGTGAAGATGCCCAGCTGCCTGGACCCGAGCTGTGGGCCACGCGTTTGGGGAAAGGCACAGCTTCCCAGGGTGACAGCCTGGAAATTCCAGATTGGGAAGAAAGTTTTTTTTTTTTTTTAAGTTATTGATTTATTTTTGGCTGCATTGCTGCGTGCGGTCTTCCTCTAGTTGCGGCGAGCAGGGGCTACTCTTAGTTGCGGTGTGTGGGCTTCTCATTGCGGTGGCTTCTCTTGTTGCGGAGCACGGGCTCTAGGTGCGCGGGCTTCAGTAGTTGTGGCACGCGGGCTCAGTAGTTGTGGCTCGCGGGCTCTAGAGCACAGGCTCAGTAGTTGTGGCACAGGGGCTTAGTTGCTCCACAGCATGTGGGCTCTTCCCTGACCAGGGCTTGAACCCGTGTCCCCTGCATTGGCAGGCGGATTCTTAACCACTGCGCCACCAGGGAAGCCCTGGGAAGAAGGATATTAACTGCCGCTTTGACAAATATATGTCTGTCTTAGAGAAGAAGGTGAATTTTTCTTGATTCTGGCAGGCTGATCTCAAGACGACGCCCTCCTCCTCCCCAGGGATGTGCATCTCACCGTCTCTGCTGTAGGGGGTTTTAGGTAGAAACGGTGGAGAAGCCTGGCTGGTACCTCCTTAACAGAGGCACAAGCCCAGAGAAGGGCAGCCAGGAAGGGGAGCCTTGGGGCCGTCACCTTTGAGCAGCCTCGAAGGTCAAGCTGATTTTAACAGATGGAGAAGTCAGGAGAGGAAATGGACCGAGCACCAGAGGCAGGGTGTCTGGAAAAGGCCTGGTGTGTGAAGAAAAAAATAAATAAATGCAAGCACTAGATACTTTTTTTAAAAAATAACCAAGAAAGAAAGAAAGAAACCAAAAAAACAAACCTAGACCTGAGCGCTAGCTTCCTTCCTTGGTTCGATTTTAGAAAGTGCTACAGCCACATCAAGGTGAAAGCAGTGCAGACGGTCAGTGTGGCTTCTGCAGCGAAATCAGATAGAGGACAAGAGGCCCCTGCTCAGTGCAAAGCTCGCTCCCCTGCCCACACCTGCAAGTCACCAGCCGCGGTGCACGGCTCCGTCCCCACCCAGGGAGGCTGAGCCCCAACTAGCAGGTGCACCACGGCCTCCGGGCCAGGGTCACGCTGTCACCAGGCCTTCACCGGGTTCCTCACTTGCTCCTTTGAATCAGAAAAAGACACCCCTTCCACCAGGCGGTGGACTCTGTCGGAGGCGCGTCCTCATCCGCAGCCCGTGAGAAGGAGCTTTGCCGCCCTCTGCTGGCGACGCTGCACAAGGACCACACGGTCTGCACCCAACCCTCTGGGGCTGCGGGGAGCCAGCGGGCGCCCTCCCACGGACCTGGGACGGGACAGTACCCCGAGCCCTGGGGTGGACGGAAGACTGTCCTTCAGAACATGCAGAAGGCACGTGTGGTCTGGCCTGGGGCCTTTAGTGAGCATCACGATTGCCCTTTCTCCCCGACCCCTGACAGGCACCCGTAAGATGGAATACAAGGGTAGCAGCTGGCACGAGACCTGCTTCATCTGCCATCGCTGCCAGCAGCCCATCGGAACCAAGAGCTTCATCCCGAAGGACGGCCAGAACTTCTGCGTGCCCTGCTATGAAAGGCAGTATGCCTTGCAGTGCGTTCAGTGCAAAAAGGTACCTCGTATTCCCCCTGGCCCTTGCACACCTGTTGTCCTTTCCAAAAGACCGTCCACCTATCCCTAAGGTGTCTTTGTTCATCGCCCTCCTTGAATAAACAAGAAACGGCCCTAGACCTAGTGGGGGGACGGGGAGGGGAAAAGGCAACTGGAAAGGCCTGTCCCTGGGGTGGGGACAGATCCCTCATCACTTATCCAGGGCTGCGTCAGGTTAAAGAAAGAAAAGCGTCCTAAGACCACAGACAGGGTGGGAAGGCAGGCTCTGGGCTCATTTTTTCCACCCAGGAAGCCAGCCCCACGGTGTCTGTTAAGCCTCTTCCTTCCCCCCGAGTAGCTGAGGAGGCTGTTGGAGCAGGTGCACCTGGTGGTAGAGAGATGCTGCAGGGATCTGCCCGCAGGTGGGGCTGAGGAGGGGCTGCGTGACATCAGACCCCGGCCCCTGAGCTGCGGTCTCCCTGCTTCGCCCTCCTGCCGGCCAGGAGGCAGTGCTGTCCCAGCAGACACCCTGGTACCCACGTCACGAACGGGGATCCGGGGTCTGCAGCGGGGGCCTGGGCCTGGCAGCTTGGGGAAGGGGCGGCGGGGTGACCTTGCCGTCCGGAGGACAGCACCTCTGGGACCCGGACGCCGGTGCGGCGTGTCCTGGGCGAGGACCGCGCGTCCTCCAGAGGCGAGGGCCGGGACGAGGGCACCAGGCACAGGCCCCTGCGGGAGCTGACGCCCTTCTGCCCGCAGCCCATCACCAGCGGGGGCGTCACGTACCGGGAGCAGCCCTGGCACCGCGAGTGCTTCGTGTGCACCGCCTGCAAGAAGCCTCTGTCTGGCCAGCGCTTCACGTCCCGCGACGAGTTCGCCTACTGCCTGGGCTGCTTCTGCGACCTGTACGCCAAGAAATGCGCCGGCTGCGCCAGCCCCATCAGCGGTGAGTGTCCGGTTCCCGGCCTGCACCGCCCCTGACCCTCGTGTGGCTGCCAGGCTTTGGCTTGTGGGTCTGTTCACGTGTGCAGACTCTGGGCCGCCGCGCTCCCCTCCCCCGCACGCTGGGCGCGCTTCCCTGCCCCCCACCCCCACCTCCGATCCCCACGGCCTCTTCTCCACCGGCTGGATTCTCTCCAAACCGCAGGCTGTGAGTCTCTGACATCCCCGCACAGGCCCCGGGAAGCAGCTGGGCTGTGCAGATGCTCCCCGGCCTCTGCGGGGGGCACGCTCTGGGTGGGCCCTTCCCACCCCCCAGGCACTTGGTGGAGCCCAAATCCGGGTGAACTACAGAATGTGCCCCAAATTCAGAGCGGAGAGCAGATGGCTGGTGAGACTCCAGCCCTGGAAATGCGCCCACTTTAAACACCTCTGGGGAACTTTACACATGTCTGCTGCCTGGTCGTGATTTAATTACTCTGGGGGACGACCTGGGTGTTAGAATTTTTAAAAGCTTCTCAGATGATTCATATATGCAGAAAATCCTGAGACTCTCTGGCCTGAATCACTCGTTTGGTTCTGCCTCAGGGCCAGGGCCCGGGCCGTGTGATCCGCCGGTCACAGCGGGTTACCTCAGGGCCAGGGCCCGGGCTGTATGATCCGCGGGTCACTATCATCTCTCATAGTCACTGTGGGCCTAGGATGGGTAAAGGCAGTTTAAGATGTTTAGGGAAAGAGGTGAAAAGCTTTGATGGTGCAGCTCCACCAGTAGCAGAGGGAGTGTGGTATCAGAAAACTGGCCTCAGTTATACACATAGAGATTCCTTTTCTGATATCCTTTTCCATTATGGTTTATCACAGGATATTGAATAGAGTTCCCTGTGCTCTAGGGTAGGACCTTGTTGTTTATCCATCATATATATTATAGTTTACATCTGCTAGTCCCACACTTCAGTAAAAAAAAAAAAAAAGTTAAATTAGAAAAAAAAGTCCCTATCTAGGTTTCAGATCATAAAAAAAAAGAGAACTAGCCTTGGAGACCTGGGTTCACCCCCAGGCCTGTCACTCACTAGCCCAGGGGATTAGCCTGAGGCCACCCACGTGTGAATGGATTTAATGCCAGACAGCAGGCAGTTAAATTACAAAAGGAGCTAACTGCTGGGTGAATGACAGACTTCTGCTACTCTGAGACCTCCAACTATTAGCCAGTGTTGTTACTTGTTCTTAACTTGGCAGATTGAGCCGTTATTTCTGGAAAGAGTTTGTAATTGCAAGTCATGATCCAAATTTCACCAAGGATTACCCCGTGTATTTGATTCCATTTTGTTTCAGGGGCCTTGGTGGCCGGACAGACCACCTGTATTGTAACAGGTAGCCAACGTACCTTAAACATTTGATAAGTAGACGTCAGACAGAGTCAGACACCCCAACTGAAATGAGTTCCTGCTTCCCTTGTTTCGATAAAGGATGGCTTTCTCCACTGCCCACACGTCCTCCTAACCCGCTCTCACGTTCCACCGGCCTCACTAGACCTCCGTGGGGTGAGGACATGTGGGCAGTGGAGAAAGCCATCCTTTATCGAAACAAGACGCCCATGTAGCATCTCTTTCGTGAGGCCGTTCTGGGCAGTTCCAGAGACGGTTCACAGCTTTCTCATCTATGCTCCCTTTGGCGCCTCATTCATTCATCGCCAAATTTTTGAGCACCAGGCCTGAGGCACCCAGGGAAGGAAGGGGTGGGAGAAATCGGCTCTGTAACTCACGCGTTTCACTCGGGTGGGAGGAACACACACACCCCACAGGCTTCTTATAATGACGGCGATCGTCATGTAGCTGTGGAGCCCGTCTGTCTCTCTTTCTCCCGCGATTCAGGAGCTCCCCGACCTGAGCACAGGATGGGATTTAAACGTGGAGCCCAGCACTGATCACACCGCACCAGCCGGGCTTGGAACGCGTCCACGCAGGACTCCCCCCGCCTGCCCCCCATCCTCACCCGTGTCCTTTTCCTCCGTCCACAGGACTGGGCGGCACTAAGTACATCTCCTTCGAGGAGCGGCAGTGGCACAACGACTGCTTTAACTGCAAGAAGTGCTCCCTGTCGCTGGTGGGGCGAGGCTTCCTCACGGAGAGGGACGACATCCTGTGCCCTGACTGCGGGAAGGACATCTGAGCCCCTCCCCGACCCCCCTGCAGCCCCCCCAAGCCCTGCTCACGCTGCACCTGGCTCCACCAGCCACCTGGGGACTTGCCTCTGCGCTGCTCAGCGCTACTCACGTCTGTTTAAACCCTTCATCTACCCTTTGCGCTCATTCTGTTAGAGAAGGAGAAAAGCCATGGAAGCCTGAGGCGGGAAGAGGGTTTTGAGTTTTTGTAATCAGGCGAGGCCAATCAAAGTGTAAAAATCCTTTTGAGTGATACCTTTATAAACGCTTTTCTTTCACTGCGTATTTAATTTTTAAGTGCAATTAATGTGTCACGAACTTGAACATTTCCAAGCTACGTACGGTAATGAAGAGTTGGTATTTACAACAGTGTAACTTCCTGTCGTGCGGGGCCCGAAGCAAGATTATATGGCTTACAATAAAGTTACCCAGAGCAAAATCTTTTGCCAGGCGCAGTGTGTGAAGTGGTGATGCAGCATTCAGGTTCTGAGGATGAATAACACTTTCCTGCGGGTGCCACTCATCACTCTGGCGGGCTGGGTGGGTGTCGACTGAAACGGCATCACACCTTTTATTTAAGAGAAAGTCTCAGTTGGAATTTCTTTCTCTTGGAATTCAGTGCTCTGCCTTTGATGCAGTGACACAGGCCCCGCACGTGGGCTAACGGCCTCGCAGGCAGCATGGGGTCACTTTTCTGGACAGAGCTCGGTGCCCTCCCATCATCATGGGTCCGGACCTGACAGTGGCCTGCCTTCTCCTCCGTAAATGGAGGGGTGCAGAGGCACACAGGCCCCTCGAGGCCGGAAATGACATCTTGGTCGCCCGTGTAGTTATCAACACCCGGGCAACTGGGGGCATCCTGGGAGACTTCAGCGAGTGTTTCTGAAAAGAAAGACAGTAAAGAGAGAGAGGATCGCTGCCATCAGAATAACACCCTTTTCCGGTAAACCTCTAAAAACGGTTCGCTACTCACTTGACCCAGAAAACCCCATAAAATTGTGCAGATCAAGAGGTTCAAATCTTCATGTTCACTTTAAGAACGCACGTGAAACTGCCCAGGCCGTTAAGGTAGGCACATCCAAAAAACCACCAAAATATCTGAAGGATGTCACCTGACAGAAGCAACGTGTGCCATTCCGTCGTTACGATGGTGGAGCTGGTAGGTGTGCCCAGGCCCAACGGTGGCCCAAAAAGAGTGCTGAATTCTTACTGCACTTGCTCAAAAACGCAGAAAGGAATGCTGAACCTAAGGGCTTGGATGTAGATTCTCGGGTCACTGACCACGTCCAGGTGAACAAAGCCCCCAAGATGTGGCGCAGGACTTCCAGAGCTCACGGTGGGCTCAACCCATACATGAGCTCTCCCTGCCACAGGGGACGAGCCTCACTGAAAAAGGGTAGATTGTCCCTAAAGCAGAAGAGGCGGCTGCACAGGAGAAAAAGGTATCCCAGAAGAAACTGAAGTGACAAAAGCGTATGGCCCAGGAATAAATGCCATAAGAAATAAATGCAAATAAAAGTAAAAAATAGATTAACACTCAGAGCCCCTAGCCTGGCAGTAGTCTGTAAACTCGTCTGGGAAAGAGCAGTTTACAGTTGGGAAGCACTGAGCCAATTTATGAGGTAGGGCATTGCATGCTTCTCTGTTTACAGTAACAGTTGTGACTTTCTGTCTTCAGTTTTCTAAGACAATGCAATATGATAAAATGATAAGCTCTGCAACAGAAAAATCTGGTAGAAATCAAGTCCCGTCTGTGCGGAGCATGCGTGAAGTCAGTTTCTTGACCTGAGCACTGGTCAGTGCGGGAAAGCCTTGATCATGGCTGAGACAGGCCTCTGGATGGACAGTCAGCTGGAGGCTTTGCTTAAGACGAATACCGCCCACCACCCCTTGTGACTTGTTTTGCCAGCTGCTTCTACTTTATGATACAAAAGCAAAAGCATTCTCGCAGATGTGCTTTTGAAAATAAAAATAGCAAACTGTGTTTAGAACAGTAAGAGCCTTCTACATCTTGTGATGGAGCGTCTTACCTGCCCCTCATGATAGCCACGGGCACACTAGACAGCCAGCGTTAAATTACCCAACCTTAAATTAACGGTTAGGAGAGTTCCACGTCTAGTAAGTAGCTCCTATTGGGATAATCTTCCCACAGGTTAGAACCACTCTGGACAGAATATTTTTAAAAATTTGAGAACACTGGAGCATGACCCACAGCAGGAGGACTCTGGAGGGGCGTGGGCCCTGGAAGAAGAGGACAACCGGTAGGTTTCCCATTCTTATGGCTTTTAGGTCAGGGCAGGCCCCACAGGGCAGCTACAGCTCTGTTAGAAAACCTGCAGCCTCACCAGCTTGAAGAACCAGAGGCCAGAGTTTGGGACCAACAGCCTCTGGAAAGTGAGATGGAAAATTCTAGAAAAGAGAGCCCCAAGTTATGTGTGTGAAATCCCTACAAATTGCTGGCTGAACCACCAGAATCCAAACAGCCCAGCCAAGCCTCAAAGAACTGACTTCTTTGAGGAGGAACTTCTGGATGGTGGTGTGCACCACCGTCAGCCCAGGTCAGCTGGGCTCAGCTGACCCTCTGCCCAGTGGAACAACCCTTTAGCTGGGGAAACTGTATACAAACTAAATAACGTAAAGTCTCTGAAAATGTTCCTAGCATACAGCACATGGAGAAACATTTATTCAGGAAACTCGACTGCATGTTAACGAGACCATTTGAGCCCCAGCTGATCCCACCCTACCCCCGCTCCCCAGTGTCACGTGACAGAAGCCCTGCTCCAGGTTAGTGCTGCCCGGAAGGGAAGGGCTCCTATGGTTGAGGGCTCTGCCCCAGGGGTGACAGGCTGAGAATTCCGGGGCCCCAACCTCTCATGCGGTGGAGGTTCCACATCCAGAGGGGCAGTCTGAGAAGACCAGGGGCTACCAGTCCCCCCACCCCGACACTTCCCCAGCACCTACCTGGGAGAAGGAGTGTTAACTCTAGGAGAAGCCAACACTGTCCAGCCCCAGGGGGGAGGCAGGCTCTGTGAACTGGCAGCTCTGTGAACCTCTGCAGGAGGGCACTATTTCGTACCAAGAATGGAGAAATCTGCCGGAGGGGACTGTCAAAAACAACAGAGACCTTGGTGGCGAGCAGTCAAGAGGGGGCTGGTGGCTCCATGATACGAACAGCAAAAAGCCAAACGGCAGGCAGGTCTGAAGTTTAGATGAAAGAACTGGGGAAAGAGCTGAGAAGAGCTGTCCTGGGCTCCCACTTAGGCCAGGAGACTGTGGGCATGGACTGGTCTGCACCCACCCACTCAAGAGCAGTCAGAGTGGGACGTGAACAGACTTGAAAGCATTCTCCAAGCCACACAAGCTCCTCAGCAAAGAGCAGAGGTCTTAACTAGCTCAAGGTGCTTACACAGATCCTCCAACCAAACACTGCTGAACGTGTGTTATAAACACGTTCAAAGAGGGACTTCCCTGATGGCGCAGTGGTTAAGAATCCGCCTGCTGATGCAGGGGACACAGGTTCGATCCCTGGTCCAGGAAGATCCCACATGCTGCAGAGTAACTAATCCTGTGTGCCACAACTACTGAGCCTGTGCTCTAGAGCCCACGAGCCACAACTACTGAGCCCTCGTGCCACAACTACGGAAGCCCACGTGCCTAGAGCCTGTGCTCCACAACAAGAGAAGCCACCACAATGAGAAGCCTGCGCACCGCAATGAAGAGTAGCCCCTGCTCGCCGCAACTGGAGAAAGCCCTTGCACAGCAATGAAGACCCATCACAGACAAAAAACCAAAAAAAAAAAAAAAAAAAAAACGAAAAAAACATGCTCAAAGAACTAAAGGAAACCACATTTACAGAATTGAAGGAATGTGCGTGAGAACAATCACTCATCAGACAGGGAATAACCAAAAAGGAATAAACATGATAGAAAAGAATCAAGTGGACGGCTTCCCTGGTGGCACAGTGGTTGAGAGTCTGCCTGCCGATGCAGGGGACACGGGTTCACGCCCCGGTCCGGGAAGATCCCACATGCCGCGGAGCGGCTGGGCCCGTAAGCCATGGCCGCTGAGCCTGCGCGTCCGGAGCCTGTGCTCCGTAACGGGAGAGGCCACAACAGTGAGAGGCCCGTGTACCGCAAAAAAAAAAAAAAAAGAATCAAGTGGAAATTCTGTAGTGGAAAAGTATATTAGCCAGAATGAAGAAATTCACTAGAGGGGTCAATAGTAGATTTGACTTGGGAGAAGATAAAAAATCAGTGAACTTCAAGATGGATCAACAAAGATTATGAAACTGAAAAACAGAGAATAAAGGAAAATGAACAGAGAAATGTGGACATCACTAAATGAAGCAACATATGCATAATGGGAATACCAGGGAGAAGAGAGAAAAGGGACAGAAAAAATGGTTAAGAATTAATGGCCAGAAACTTCCCCCCAGTTCAATTAAAAACATTCATCTAAAAATACACATCCAGGACTTCCCTGGTGGTCCAGTGGTTGGGACTCTGCACTTCCACTGCAGGGGGCACAGGTCTGATCCCTGGTTGGGGAACTAAGATCCGGCACGCTGTAAGATCCCTGGTTGGGGAACAGCCAAAAAAATAAAATAAAAACACATCCACAAAGCATGACAAACTCAAAGCAGGAAAAATGCAGAGAGATCCATCAGACACATCACAGTCTAAACGCTGAAAGCCAAAGATAAAAGGAAACATCTGGAAAGTGAACCAAAGCTTGAGCTGTCACACCCACCTCTGGTCCCACCACACACAAAACTTGCCTCTGCCTACCCCGCACCTACCCACCCACCCTCTATCAGTGGAATCACTGCAATGCACAGTATTTCTGACTGGCTCTAAAATAATACAGTTCTTTGATAATCCTTTACATTAAGCAAGACTTTTATCAAATTAGAAGAAACGTTCTGTGTATCGTTGGCCCACAGGCTAAATCCTGCCTACCACCTGTTTTCTTAAAAATTTATACTGGAACACAGCCATGGCCATTCATCTATGTACTGCATGGCCCACAAGGCCTAAAATTTTTACTATCTGACCCTTTACAGAAAGTTTGCCAACCTTGCTCTGTATCTTGATCTGGACAGTGTTTTT